GGTGGTGGTGTGTCGCCTAGGGCTGGCGGAGATGGGGGCAGAGGGTTCCGGTTGAAGGAGGGAGGGGGGGATCCTCGACGACAGGGGTAGCCGGCGGTAGAGCGATGAATTTGGGTAGGAGATGGGGCACAGGTAGGCGGCGAGCTGGGGGACAGGTCGGCGGCGAAGGGTTGGCGACTACGGGCTGGATCTGGGTCGGATCTGCGGGTACTAGGTCAGGGTAGGGGTGGGGGTGTGGGTGGGTGTGAACTTACCTGTGCTCCTAGCCGTCGTCCGCCGTCGCCCGCCGCCGTCCTACGACCTTCTAAACCACCGGCAGGGAGGACGGACGGTGAGAGTCGAAGTGCAGGCGACTACTCCGAGGAAGAGCCGTTACTCACAAGAGAATATTAGAGCAGGGCACAGAGGAGAGAGAAAGTCCATAATCTAACACTAAGAAACAACTAAATAATATTAACGAGATAATATTAAGGTTGGAGCTCCCAAAATGAAAAGAGATAGTGATAAAAGAATGAACCAGGGGCAATTTCGGAACTTCAGCAGAGGGGGAGCTGATAGAATTTGAGATGGGTATGAACAACTGGATTGGGTAATAAGACACTTGGGTTGAACCATATTAAAAGATTGAATCCAATCGATTAGTTAGTTCAACTCTAGAGCTTATATACCAATTATTTACTCTTGGATTTTCCAATGTGGGATGTACTCTAACACTCTCCCTCGAGTGGACAACCGGGCCATTTTGAATCTAACCGGTTGACAACTTGCAAATGAACTCCCATTCCCTTGACTTTTTTTTTGAGCGCCAACACCTAAAGGACTACGAGTCGCTGGGTATGGACTTCCAAACGAGCAATCGTGTTAAACAGGCCACAGGCCGTTGGGTACAACCTCCATACGGACAACTGGGCTAAAGACTAACGGGCCGCTAGGAATGAACATCTAGACGGACGCCTTGACAAACGAGGTGGGCTAAAACTGGCTCTGATACCATGATAGAATTTGAGATGGTTATGGACAACTGGATTGGGTAATAAGATACTTGGGTTGAACCATATTAAAAAAATTAAATCCAATCGATTAGTTAGTTCAACTCTAGAGCTTATATACCAATTATTTACTCTTGGATTTTCCAATGTGAGATGTACTCTAACAGGAGCAATGCCCGTCTTCGATGGCGTTGTCGTTGCTGCTTCGCCGGAAATAGGGAGCTGTCTCGCCGTCTCCAGAGGTGGACGACGTCGCCTCGCCACTACCTGTCTCCTGGGTCGTTGCCAGAAGCTGGGTCGTCGGTCTGGAGCCTTTGGTGCTGGACCGCCGGAGAGGACGCCGGGGCTGGAGGCGTCACAAGGTTGCTTCGTCGCTGCTAGTGTGCTTCGTCGCCTCTTCCTCCGGTTGATATTGAGTCGACGATGAGGCAGGGTGCAGGTCAGGTCGCACAGAAAGAAAGCGTCTGTCTTCGGACTTAATTTGGGGAAAATAATTGATTGAACGCCTTGGTAAGAACCATATTACCCCACCCCCTCCTTGTTCATTAAAAAAAGCAAAAATATTTAAAAAAATAAGTAAATAAAAATCAAATAAAAATGTATGGTGGAAAAGATAGTGGTGTATATTTGAAGTGCACCTTTTGGTGTACCCCTAGCATTGTTCTTATTCTTTCGTATGATTTTTTATTATACTCGTAATTTGCTTGGTTAGAAATTAGAATTATAACAACCCCCTACTTCACAATTTTTTTTCTATACTAGTCACTACTAATAATTTTATTTTCTTCTCACATATGGAGTATATTTTTTTCATACTACTCATTTAGTCATTTTCTTCATGTCACTAAAAGTATCTAATGATACTACAACACTATCGATTTACTCATTTAGTCATCTATCCCACTCTGTGTTCTAAATTAAATTACATTACTATTTACATGATAAAATTTTATTACTCCGTAATTTTTTTTATATATTCATTAGTCACTGAAAAACGAATATAATCATAGTATCACTAGTGTGTAGATCTTTTAATGTAATTACTAAACATGTAATTATTTTTTATTTACCCAACAAAATTGAGATAATTAAAATTGAGATAGAAAAAATAATATCTTTTAAAACCACAAAAACAAGAAAAAACTGATTCTAGAATAGTACTCCCTCCGTTTTTTAAAACACTTCCTCTTTCATTTTTTTCACTTCCAACAAAACACTTCCATTTTCTATTAAAAAACCACTTTTACCCTTACTTTTTCATACCCTACCTATCACATCATACTTTATCTCTAATAATCTATCCATCACATCTTACTTTTACCTATCACATCAAGGGCAAAATTGGAAGTCAACTACAATTTAATACTTCCTTATTTTTACACAAAGTCAAAGTAGGAACACTTTTTCCAAATGGAGGGAGTATCAAACAAACGAAACAAGAGTGGTTCTTTGACCCCCAACCATTCTCCGTCTATTCAATTTGTGGAAGAGGCCTCATGCGCACAATACCAAAAGCCCAACATAACACAAACTTTCATTTACATTTCATTTCATTTTTATGCACCCTCCCTCCCTATATCATTATCATTTTTAAATATTTTTTGGTCACATATTTAGATTTTATCAAAATATTTCAAATATTTGATATATAAAAATTTTATAATATTTCTTTATTTAAATTATACTTGTTTCATGGTTAAGGGTGTAGTTGTTTTGTCTACCAAAAAATTTATAATATCCATGGGAAGATGTTAGCATGGACTTCATTACCGGGCTGCCTAGGACACAAAAGAACAAAGACTCCATCATGGTGGTCGTGGATCGTTTCTCCAAAATGGCCCATTTTGTCCCTTGTCTCACCACGTATGATGCATCTTAAGTCGCGGATCTCTATTTTCGCGAAATAGTCAGACTACACGGAAAAATTTTATAATATTTCTTTATTTAAATTATACTTGTTAAATGTGTTGGTGTACTCAGTTTTTATTCATCTTGTTTATTTCAGAGATTCCAAAGCCGAAGTTCAAAAAAAAAGCATTTCCTCGTGAATCAAGGAATCAACATGCTGGTGGATTCAATCAGGCTGATATCCCAGCTGCAATTGCTGAAGAAATTGTTGTTTTTGCTCTCGTTGCTCCTGAAGTGGTTGCACCGCACCCCATGAATTTGGCTGTTCTGGAAAATGCTGTTGGCCATGGTGTGCCTCTTGAACCCGAACCGGATTCTGATTCTGAGGTTGAAGAGGATGAGGTTGCTCCCAATCTAATTTTCCAGGTTTGAGATCTGGAAATCTCATTACCTTCCTTTGAAAATGCTCAAGTAAATAAACTCTTTGATATTAAGCAAACACAATATCTTCAACAAATAACCAGAGCAAAGAGTTGCAAGCCTTGTCTAACAAATAAGTCAGATAGAATAAAGTAAAAAAATAGATTGAAATTTATAACCAATTGAAAGATAAAAATGAATGTTAAAAAAACTGTCCAAGAGCGTCGTTACGATGTTCTCTGTAAAATTTTTCTTAAATAGAATTAAAACATAGAAAAATTATTAAAATAAAAAATTTAGATATTTATTCTAGAAAATAGACTTTCATATTTTTATTTGTAAATAGATACTCCTCCGTTTAAAAAAGATTGGTACATATTGACTTTTTGGGAAATTAAGAGGGGCATATTTTGGTATTGACTTTTGAAAAATACTCTTGATGTGATGAGTAAAGATAGGATGTGATGGGTAGATTATTAATAAAAATGTAATAGACTTTACAGGATACAATTTTTTCAAAACGTGTCAGACTTTTTTGGGGCGAAGAGATATGTATTTTCATTAAAAATTATTCCTAAGTTATCTTTTTTATTTTTTTTACATAATTGAATAGGGGCGAAGGGAGTATGTATTTTCATTAAAAATTATTCCTAAGTTATCTTTTTTTTTTTACATAATTGAATAGGTGTGTCTGGAAGGGAAAGGACGGGTTATTTAATTTGATTCGGGAAAGTAGATCACAGCTGTAAAATAGATACTCTTTTTCTAAAAATTGGTTACAAATTTTTTAAAGTTGGTCTCCAATCAAATTTTGTTTATTTGTCCGGAGTATACTTTTATTTATTTTGTTTAGTATACTAAAAATACTCTTTCTTAATTTGATTACAAAACTAGATCTTACAATTTTTTGGGAATGATTTTATTTATACATTAAAAAAATATAAATTATATATTAAAAAATATAACAAAAAATATAACAGAAATGGTTTATTTATAAAATAATTAATTAAAAAATATAAATTAACAAAAATTATTCAGAGAGAATAAAATAATAGTGGTAATAAAAATAGAGACAAAGGAGTTATTATATGATAAAGATAAAAGATTTTTATTTTCATACCTTTAATTTGGTAAATACGGAGTATGAGAGAAGATAATTTATTTCTTTCTTCTCAAAAATTATTATTTTTTTGTTAAATTATGACACTATTTGATCATTAAATAAATACTGTATAATTTAAAATAATTAAATATAATAAAAATTAAATATTTCAAAATAATATTTTATAGTATACCTAAATTTATTTTATATCTAAAATATTTTTTTCTTCATAACTTTTTATTTAAAAATTTTATTTCAATTAAAAAAAATCAAACTGCGACCATCTTAGATAGGAGGGAGGGAGAAATTTAAAATTGAGGAAGAATTAGCTGTCACACACTCGCCTGGAATGTTAAACGCCTCCGTTTAATGCGGTGGCTTCTGTTGCTGCCCTCTATTTATTACTCCGTATGTGAATTGAAACACCTTCATATGATCTCTCTTCCCTCGCTTCGTTTGCAGCCCTCTCTCTTCGCTCCTCTATCTTCCTTCGATCTCCCTTCCGTCGATGTCTTCACGGGTCTCTATTTGTCCATTGGCCCCTTGTTAGAGCACTCTTCTTCTGTCCTCAAATCTCCATCAACACACTTAATTGATATCTCCATTCGTTCTCTGTCAATTCAATTCCCCAACTTCTTGATAAAGATTCAATATTTGTTGATTCTACTTGAATTACTTCATTGCTCTCTTTTCGTTCTTCTCAATATCTTGCTGGATTTAAAATGTTTTTTCGAGATCTGTATTCGAAAATACCATTCGAATTGAAAGCACTTCGGTTGTGTTCAATTTGGCTTGTATTTTCTAATCAGGGTCGGGTCAGAGGCTCGGAGGAACTGATTCCAGATCGGGTCACAGGTCGGGATGTGTGGTAGCTGGATAGGGCTCGGGTCGAAGGCTGGGCGATTGGGTAAAAATCTGGAAAAGATGCTGGATCGGTCAGAATTTGGAAGCAGTAGATATCGGGTCGGGTAAAAATATGATAATCAGGTCATGTTTTCCGTTTGATATTATTTTTTCTTTGGGCCTGTTTGGTCTAAATTATGCTAAAACTTTTTCTTTGGGCCTTGTAGCCCTTGTTAATGAATGATTGTTGGGTTTTTTTAACACTTCAAACAAACCCTTTGATCAATGTGTTGTAACGTCAGTTTTGTGTTCTATTTTTAAATAGCACTATAAAAGGATTCTGTGGGAGGAACCCTAAGAAGTTGAGGAACCCCATTGAAGTTGGACACAGATCTGCAAAAATGAATAAGGACAGGAGAGTTTCAGCTGTCAAGGTGTACCAGAGGAAAAACAAGCGCCGTCTGGAGAGTAAGATTTTTCTTAAGGCTATTTCATTAGGGTTTTAAATGTGTTGTTGTACTCGGTTTTTATTCATCTTGTTTATTTCAGAGATTCCAAAGCCGAAGTTCGAAAAAAAAGCATTTTCTCGTGAATCAAGGAATCGACATGTTGGTGGATTCAATCAGGCTGATATCCCAACTGCAGTTGCTGAAGAAATTGTTGTTCTTGCTCCCGTTGCTCCTGAAGTGGTTGCACCGCACCCCATGAATTTGGCTGTTCTGGAAAATGCTGCTGGCCATGGTGTGCCTCTTGAACCCGAACCGGATTCTGAGTCTGAGGTTGAAGAGGATGAGGTTGCTCCCAATCTAGTTCTCTAGGTTTGAGATCTGGAAATCTCATTACCTTCCTTTGAAAATGCTCAAGTAAATAAACTCTTTGCTCTGGTTATTTGATGAAGATATTGTCTTTGCTTAATAGCAAAGAGTTTATCTTCATCAAATAACCAGAGCAAAGAGTTTATTTACTTGAGCATTTTCAAAGGAAGGTAATGAGATTTCCAGATCTCAAACCTAGAGAACTAGATTGGGAGCAACCTCATCCTCTTCAACCTCAGACTCAGAATCCGGTTCGGGTTCAGGAGGCACACTATGGCCAACAGCATTTTCCGGAACAGCCAAATTCATGGGGTGCGGTGCAACCACTTCAGGAGCAACGAGAGCAAAAACAACAATTTCTTCAGCAATTGCAGCTGGGATATCAGCTTGATTGAATCCACCAGCATGTTGATTCCTTGATTCACGAGGAAATGCTTTTTTGAACTTCGGCTTGGGAATCTCTGAAATAAACAAGATGAATAAAAACTCAGTACAACAACACATTTAACAAGTATAATTTAAATAAAGAAATATTATAAAATTTTTCCGTGTAGTCTGACTATTTCGCGAAAATAGAGATCCGCGACTTGTGATGCATCATACGTGGTGAGACAAGGAACAAAATGGGCCATTTTGGAGAAACGATCCACGACCACCATGATGGAGTCCTTGTTCTTTTGTGTCCTAGGCAGTCCGGTAATGAAGTCCATGCTAATATCTTCCCATGGAAGAAATATTATAAAATTTTTGGTAGACTAAACAGCTACACCCTTAACCATGATAATATCATCCCATGCAAGTAACAATTGATCCTAAAAAAGTAAGAACTTCAAAATTAATGAAGCAGTAATGAATAAAAAAATAGTGTTTGTGACTAAAGGAAGAAGCAACAAATATCTAAACTGTAAAAATCACAACAAACGACTTTGAGATAGTCTAGGTCACCAACTTGATAGGCTAAACTTTTGCGGCTCCTTCGACTTCACAGTTCCCACATGTTGTTGGCTTTCGATGTGTCAGATTAAAGATGACAATACGATTAACTGTTGACCACTCACTCCATATTTTAGAGCAAAAATGTGTAAAACCTTCCAAATTATGTCTTGTTTGACATGAAAACAATAGCAGGAATAATAGTTTGGCAGAAAGCCTAGAAGCTCTTTTGCTAATGTGAAGTGTAGTGTTTTCTTTGGGTATTCTAATATTTAGTAATGTTTCAAAAATTGATGCTAAAAGTAATGTATATAGTACAGCTTTCAGTCTAAAACATAACAACTTGGAAATTACCTTGTAGACCATGCATATATTTTTAAGCATTCAAAAAGGTTCATTTTTTCTTTTTCATCAATCCCAAAATAAGGTTTTTGTTTGCTTTGAAGTAAACAATTCATCTACATAAATTTGAACCGCGTACTTTTATTTTTGAAACAGATGTTGTATTATCCAATGGGTATGACTTGTATACCTTGCAATCATATTGTTCATGCAGGGAAGAGCTACGTCTTCTGCAATGCTTAGCAACATCCAATGAAAAACAGTGACCGCAAGGAAACCCCCATAGACCAAGGAGTTAGAAAAGTTGCTAAAGACCATAAAATCACACCCCCATGTCAAAACTGCCTTCCCACCAAAATAATCCATTAGTGTCCCTCCAGCAATTGGTGATATCAGATAACTCTAGAGAAAAAGATGACTGCGATTACTAGCTCTACTCATCGATCAGTTAAAAAAAATTAAAAACATGTGCCAGTGTTATGGATGAGTTGCTTTTTTTCCAATATATGTGCTCAATGCTCATACAAATGTTTATAAGAAACTAAATGTCTCTCTTAGGTGTTAACAACTCCTAATTGCCTATTAGAACGTTTTAAGATATGGGTTTTGGTTTCTCAACTAAACTATAATCATACCAAGATATTTGTGGAAGTTGATGTACAGTTGTAATAATCACTTTTTTTTTGTTGCATTAATCATTTCTTTAAGTCATGCTTTATTATCCTGGATATCAAAAGCTTAAAGAAGTATTCCAAAACAATAACACCACACTTCCAAATCAAACCTACACAAATGCATCAATTAAATGTAGATCCTGAAGAAGAAATTTAGTTGGATAAAAAGATCCAACCAATGAGCCTAGGTCCAAGTGCGTCATTTTTATGAGTTGAACATCAAACTCGATTTGGCACTTGGCTTTTGTCAGCAATCACAGCCAGAATTAAACAGATGGGGAAACATAATGAAAGACGCAGAAATGGAGAGCACCTGAACAATGCCGGCGAAAGATTGACTCCATCCATAAGAATCCTTCAACGATACAATAGCCACAACTTTCACTCTCTCCTAAGTAATAAACCACGAAGCTCGGCTCCTGCACTCCGTCTCGAACCGGACACAGGTTGAGCATCGTCGGACGAAGCTGTAATTGGGATCAATCGGCAATCATCGGGTTTCTTCATTCTTTTTTGTTGCTAATTGTTATTCTTTGAGATGCATTATTAGCCATGGCGGACGATCATCAAAAGGTAGTCACCAGTAATTGATCATAATAATTGAATTATTGATGCTAATTAGCCTCGACTAATTGAATTCTTTGAGATGCTAATTAGCCATGGCTAATTGAATTTGAAGTTTTTTCAAATTTCATTTTTCAATATTTGCATTTGGCAGTAGGCAGTTTGATTCTCGCTTTAATTCGGTTCGTTTCAGTCGGTTATTACGAGTACTTTTAATTTTTGATTATTTCGGTTTTGGGTCGAAACCGGCAGAACCGAACCGATGCTCCCCCCTAACTACAAGTGTGGAAACAAAAATCTTCCTTAAACAAGTGTGTAAACAAAAATCTTCCTTAATTTTGTTACATTTCCGACTTTCCACATTCTCAAAAATTTTAAACTTTCTTCCGACTTCGTCAATAGTTGCCCCGCTTGCCTAATTACATATATTTTTTATTTAATTTTGTTTATTTTATTATATTTGTGTTGACTTGGTTTGATCCCAAGAATTCAATAACCCTAAACAAGACAAAAAACTGGATTCTTAAGTCAAACAAATTGAATTATAAAAACTACTTTTTTAAATTACAATGAACATTATAACTGTAAACATAACAAAATGATATACACGGACGGCTAGACAGGCCCCATTTTTTAGGAGGCCCAGGTTATATACACATTGTATTGTACTCCCTCTGTCCTCCTGTATTTGTCCACTTTTATTTCTGCACACCATCCAACGCACTTCTTTAATTCATTTTATCTTGTAATTTGTATATTAAAAAATTATAGAAATTATATATTAATAATCTATATATTAAGACAAATCAAACAAGATCACACATGACTATATTTAGGCTTACACATTGAGAAAATTTGATGAGTCAAAGTGCTTAGATGAACAGTTCCAAAAGTCAAATGTAGACAAATACAGGGGGACGGAGGGAGAATATTTTTATATATTTACATTTTGTTTAATATTGAGTAAATTCCATAATTTGCCCTTTATAACAGGAAGGGTTTCAATATTTAGTCCTCTATTATCAAATATTATCACCGTAGTCCTTTTTTTAAAGGTACCTTTCCACAAATGGTTCTTTTTTAATCTTCTGCCGTGTTGGTGTCAATTTAAAGGCTAAGAGTATAATTTGACGTCAACATTATGTTTAGTGACATGTTCTGATATTGGTTAAGCGGATAACACAAAAATAATAACTATAATATTGCTCCCATAAATGTGGAAAAAGGAATAAATATAGATATAATATTCAAATGAGTCACATAATTAACCCATGCTCGATGCCTTGATAGATACGGAGTACGTAGCTACTAGCTAGTAGTGATACGTATAAGTAGTAATTAAGGCGCGACCGACCATATATTATTATTGACTAATTGCCATTTTCCATTTCTTCCACTCCACTCTATTTTGATCTTCATGATGTTCATAAAATCCATAGACCGCTTTTTCTGTTTCTCCCCCGCCTCCACCGCCACATCCTCCACCGCCGCCGCCCAACCCGGCCGCCACCGCGTGGAACGCCTCGGCGGCGGGCACACGCCCAGGAGCCGGAACAGCACCTCCCAGTCTTCCTCTCCTTGGGTTAACCCCGTCGTCGAGTCTCGCCGGAAAAGCTCCTCCGACGTCCCCGATAACCTCCGGAGGAGCGGTGCTTCTGCCGCCGCTGCCACTCCGCCCGGTTCCCCCTTCATTGATCACTTGCTGGCAATTAATTCAAAGAATGTCAAAGCAGCCGTGTTCAAGAAGAGGCAGAGCTCCAACGAGCCTTCCGGCGTTCTACGCCGGCCGTGGCCGGCGTCGCAATTCCCGACGGCGACACCCAAGAACTCGAATAAGGCTGACAGCTTGTCGTCAACTCCCATCCCCCGCCGTAACCATCAGGTCAATTAATTACTTTATTTTTTCCATTTAGTTTAGTTTTTTCTATTCGTTACTTTTTTTTGGAATTTTCCCAACATTTTTTTTTGTTAGTCAAACAACCAACACCGAAAGTATATATTTACAAGTTCAAACGACCAAGTCTTCATGGTCTAAAAGTACATTTTTAGTTGGAATGAAGTTTAATTTTATAAGAAACTTATCAAAAAATTTTCAACTAAAATGTACAGAGTTTGATTTTAATTTATTGATTGCATGATTGATATAACAATGGGAGGAAACATTTGTAGCTTTGTCCAAAAAAACATACCGAGTATGTTGTAGCACTAAAAAAAACAATAAACATTTGTATATATATATGGGTGTTGGTAATTAAGGAAAATATAATTATAGTACTATAAAGGTTGAGCTTAATTAATTAGTAATGCATGAATGGATGTGTAGGTTGTGGAGTTGAGGGTGTCAATTCATTGCAAGGGTTGTGAACGAAAAGTGAAGAAACATCTCTCCAAAATGGAAGGCAAGTTTTATACCTCAGCTCCTCCCTATATATATGAATTGTTTTCTCTTCATTTCTATCCGTTATTAATAAACAATTTACTTAGTCAAGAACAAAAGAACAAGCTATGTTAAGAGTATCCCACATCGGAACTTGAAGAGAAAAATAACCCGGTATATAAGCCCTTGAGTTGAACTAACTAATCGATTGGATTCAATCTTTTAATGTGGTTCAACCCAAGTGTCTTGTTGTCCAATCCAGTTGTTCATACCCATTCCAAATTCTATCAAGCTAAGTGATTATCCACAATTATCTCTCATCTAAAAAAATTAATATAGTATTCACACACTCTTTCTTTTTCAACACTTCTAAAAAATTACTCCATAGTAGCTAATTTTGACATTGGTGTGTAGCCAATGTCATACTATCACATTGAGCCCATTTGAAGCCCATTTAGTCTTTTTGTTTGATCTTGAAATTTTCATAACTCTTCTAGAACATCTTCAAACCCTTACCCTAACCCATCCTTAAGCACTAAAAAGATTTAGGCCATTATCATAATATGACATTAAACTCTAATGTAACCCATCCTTCATACCATTTTTTATTTTTCAATATATACTTTGGCATTTTTAATTTTATGACATTGAGATTCTTTTTACATACAGTCAACATTATTTAACTCATAAATGTTCATGATAATATGACTTTGTAAATTTTTTTCTTAACTTAATTTTCAAGACTTTACTTCTATTATATCATGAATGAGAAGTGTTATTAATTATTAGCAACAAAAAAGTTCTCTTAAGAAAGAAAGGGTAATGTGCATTTCTTAAATAAGCATATACTCCGTATCAATTTAATATTGTACATTTGCGCAGCTTTATAAGTATATGCAACAAATAAATGTGCAAAATTATACGGAGTACTTCTTTTAGCCCAAAAAATATTTCCCATTGTGAAATTTGCACCAAATAGGACTAAAACATAATGACTTTCCTAATGTAGGAGTTAAACTTTTTTATTCCCTAAATAGGACTTAATAATGACCTTGTGGGTGGAATAATAGCCAGTAATGATGGACATTTACTTGAATAATGACTACTTAAAAATGACCAAAAGTTCTACATTGAGAAATTAAAACATATGGTCCTATATTGGGAAAGTTATTATGTTTTAATTCTATTTAGGTAAATTTCTATTTCCCATTTTGATATTTGGGAGGAGAAGTTGTAGAAGTTTGATTAAGATGAAGCGATAATAATTAAAATGAGTAGGATACCATTGTGTAATTGTGTAGAGTAATTGTGTAGAGTATTAATCATGTGTAATAGTGTAGAGTATTAATCATGTTTAAAGTGTGTCTCATTAATTACCATTGTTAATTAAAAATTTAAAGATGGCATCTAGCTAATTTTAAGCGCCGATATAGTATTTACTCCTATTTATCAACGTGCTTGCCACTTAGGTTATAGGCCGAGTCACCCTAGCTCATATGATTAGAGTGTCCCACAATTGAAATAAAGTCTCAACTAAGATATGGATAATCTCCCATTAATTTGTCGCTTACCAAGAGAGCCTGCCACTTTTTACAATATTACGGAGTATTAAACATTATAATGAATGATTATGGGTGAAACGTAAAATGGGTAGTGAACCATCGTTGTGTTTCAAAACCGCATATGAATGCTAATAATGCACACAAGCATTAGTGTACGTTCTAAACGAATATGCAGTTTGTTATATATCGACTATTATTAGGTCGACAATCACTTGGAAATTAAAAAATCATTTCAGCTACATACTCCTTCTGTTTACCAAAACACTTTCTCTTTATTTTTTTTTCTTCCATCAAAATACTTCACTTTGTATTAAAAAACCATTTTTACTCTTATTTTTTCACATCATATTGTTTCTCTAATAATATATCCGTCACATCTTACTTTTACCCATTACATCAAGGACAAAATTAGAAGTCAACAATAATTTCACACTTCCTTAATTTGGCCTTTGGTCAAAATGGGAAAAGTTTTTTCAAACAGAGGGACCATAATATTAGCTATAATATACTCCCTCCGTCCAAAAAAGATTTACACGTTTCAAAAAATTTGCGTCCCACAATCCCTTACTCATTTCTATTAAAAAACCACTTTTATCCCTTACTTTTTTCAAATCCTACCTATCACATCATACCTTTTTTGCTAATAATCTACACATCACATCCTACTTTTACCCATCACATCAAGGGTATTTTTGGAAAGTTTACACAAAATTATTCCTTCCTTAATTTCAACTTTAGTCAAATCGAGTAAAACTTTATGGGACAGAGGGAGTACTCCCTCCGTCCCATGAAACATGGGAGCTTTGCTTTTTAGGAGGGATTTAAGGGGAGTGTATTTTGGTATTGAATTTCCAAAAATGTCCTTTGATGTGATGGGTAAAAGTATGATTTGATGGATAGATTATTAGTAAAAAGGTATGATGTGATAGTTAAGGTATGAAAAAGTAAGGGATAAAAATGACTTTTTAATAGAAATGAGAAGTGTTTTGTAGGACGGATAAAAAAAGAAAGGAGAAAGGTTTTATGGGACGGAGGGAGTATCACATATTCGAGAACACCTATTGTACAACCGCGTGTACCTAGGGTTAGGTACGCTCTATTAGAATATAAATAACTGTTCGATCTTGGGCCACAACCATAAGCTTGAGCTTGTGGTTGAGTTGGTTCTTTGACATGGTATCAGAGCCTCGTGAACTAAAGAGATCACGGGTTCGAAACTCAGCGCCACCCAGTTTAAAAAAATTGAAGTTTCACGTGCAAGGCTTGAAAAGGACTACGCCTCGGCCCCCAAATTCATACCACCGCCTCCACTAACTCCATCTTCATCTCACCTGTTCCAATTTGTATAAACATCGGACACTTACATTCTCGCCACCGCCATCCACCTCAGATCTCGCTGCCGCCGTCCACCTCAGTTTGCAGTCATCTTCAGGAAGTCGCCGATTCTCCGGCCTCCTCCTCAGCTTCAATCGGCTATTCAATCTCCGATTCTCCTACTCCGCAAAAAAAATAAGATCAACAATACGATTCTTCCCGTAGAGCCGGTTGTAAGGTAGAATTTGCGCACACACTCCACTTTTTCATTTTTTGAGTCAAGAGTTGATCGAGTTACCAAGATTTTAATTTCAATTATTTAGATACTCTTTTAATAGAAATTACTACAACGTATGATATATAGGAGTAGTTTAAACTTGAGATTTCAGTTACAACCAAAACGATTAACTAGGGAGTTCTATTCTTACCTGCTTATATTTAAAAAATTAAAAGATTAATTTACGCAAATTGAACTTAAAAATATCACTTTTAATTTCCCTAATTAGGATCAGTCCTGTCTACTATAGCATTTGGCAACGAAATATTTTAAAATGTCATACCTTTGAGAAAAATGACATATTACACAATTCAAGTAGAATAAGATATTACTGAAAACAATTTGAATAATCATTGAAATAATCAGTCATTTTCTAATGTTTGTTGCTAATGACCACATTCGTAGAATTCTTCATATAATCAATCATTATTCAACACTTGTTGCTAATGAAGGCATATACGCCAGATCATATGAAATTATGTGTCATAAATATATAAAACATATTTCGTCTTATATGGAACAAATTTTATCTAATTAACCCGATGAATTAATATAATAATTTTTATTAAAAAAAAGTACAGGAGTGACGTGGTACAGTGTAGATGCATGCACACAGAAAGTGACGGTGGTGGGAGAGGTGAGTCCGTTGGGAGTGCTGGCCAGCATTTCCAAGGTGATGAAGAATGCACAGTTCTGGTAGTCCAGCTGCCCATGCTAGCATACTCCATTGCATATATATATTACGCTAGGGTTTCCTTCAATGAATTAAATACGGAGTATATTATTGTTACTATGAGTTTCTCCTATATACTGTACTTATTATTTGGTTTTTACTTCTTCATCTTTCGAACTTATTATAATCATAAATGTATAATGATAATAGTATATTGTTAGACAATAATATTAAGTATTCCTAGTTATGGTAGAAGTTGTATTTTAGTTAGTTCCCATTCTCTATTCCTAGTTGTGTTAGGAGTCTCTCCTATATATACTCTATCATGTACTTTATAATTCAAAGAGCAATATTATTATTCAAATATTTCAACATGGTATCAGAGCCATCGCTCTTGGTGACCTAAAAGAGTTAATTGCTTCCGCCGCCGCTGCCGGTAATTCCGGCGACGACGACTCCACCTATTCACCTCTATTTTCTTTTCCTTCTTTATCCTCAAATCAACTTCTCCATTCAAAAAAAGAAAAAAATTCCCGTGTTGAAATCATAAAAAAAACCGTCAAAGGAGGAGCTTCCCTCTTGTCATCTCCATGGTTCTTAAAAAAAAATCCCAAACTCCTCACAAACTCTCTCGATCAACTCATCTTTTCTTCTCCAAAAAAAAACAATTATTGTTTTCTCCAATTCACCATATCAAAATCTCAGCCCCAAATCTTTCTTCCATCACCAATTCTTAACTCACTTTTTTTCTCTCTCTCAAATCACTCATTCTAATCATCAAACTCTCTTCTCTTTCTCTTTTGTTGAACCAATAAAAAATTCAAAAAAAAAAAAAAAACACAAAAGCAAAGCCAAAAGGGGAAGTAGTGAAAAAGGAAAGAATACCTCTACACCCCTTCAAGAAAGAAATAGGGCATTGCCCGGATCCAATAAAAAAAACAAAGAATGTCAAAGATCTTCAGTCAAAGAGACCGCTCAAGTAGCTTTCTCTATTCTTCTTCGACGTCAGCAGCTACAAGCGCACGTCAATTTCTCTCTTCTTCAACTGATGGTGTAAATATAGCTGGGCGGGTTAACCGGGTTTAACCTGGACACTTGACCCGTAATATAAAACACACAACAAGAACACAAAGTATGACCTAGACCGGGTAAATCTCCTCAGTCCGAATTATATTTCTTACTCTGTCTCAAGAGTGTACTATTTTTAGTGAGAGAAAGAATTGGTCCCTCCTCTATCCAATATCATCATATTTATAGAGGAGGATTTGTGACCTTCNGTGTAGCCTTCTTCCAGCTCCCGCTTGCTTTTGTTCAGGACTTCCGCCTCGGCATACTCCCATGCCGTATTGTAGGCTTCCTGATAAGAGGAGGGTGGCCTTCTACAGAATTCAGTGTAGAGGTCACCTGACCGGAAGGCATTCATCAGTAAAGACATGGCCGTCTTATCGTCCATCTCTTCTACCTTGTCAACCTCGTCCCTCCAGCGGGTTAAGAATTGAGTCAAGGATTCCTTCTCCCTTTGCCCTACCGTGTTAAGGTAGGTGAACTTCTTCCTCTTGATGCAGTTGTCCTGGTACTTCTTGCGGAAAACTTCAGCAAGTTTCTCAAAGGACCCAATCTTTCCATGGGGAAGGCCGTTAAACCATTCCACTGGTCTCCCTCTCAAGGATGAGAAGAAGAGCAAGCATTCCTCAGCATCAGTGCACCCGGCCATCTGTGCTGCATTGTGGAAGGTGTCAAGGTGGATATTTGGATCCTCCTTTCCGGTGAATTTCTCCACATCCAGCTTGACCTTCCGCCTCAATTTTTGTGCATGTACCCTGGCCGAAAAGGGTGATTTGGCCAGGGTGTGCTTCTTTGCTCCCGCCTTCTCGTCCACCTTTTCCTCCAGGGCACGTAGCTTTCTCGCTACGCTCCCTATCTTGTCCAGGTCATCCTCATCATATGAGAGCCTGGTATATGCCGATGCCCTGGGCTGGCTTTCAGCCTCCTCCTCGTCTAGGTGAATCGTCTCAGATTTCCTAGAACGACGGGATTGGGCGGGACGATTCCCTCCAAGTCTTTCCATTGCGCTAGTCCGGCCCGTCTCAGGACCAAGACGTAGCTTGGCAGACTTGCGGGGCCCATCCTCTTTGTCCCCTAGGCGTTTGAACGCCGAATCTCGGGTCTTGCTGGGTTTGGCTATAGCCTTACCCTTCCTTCTGCGGGCCGTCTCTTGCTCCGCCTCATCGACCTCATGGACATTTGAGGGTGCTGCCTCGTTCATGGTCCCCGTCAGATTTACCGGGCGTATAGGGACCATCCTAGGTACAAATGTCGACGGGGTTGACACCGGAGGTGGCATGATCGGCGGCGTCATGCCAGGATAGGCAAATGGCATGAAGCCCCCTGCTTGTTGCATCATGGCCACCACCTGTTGATAGCCCTGCAGAGCCTGAGCATTTGCCGGGTTAGCAGCAAACTGAGCCCAAGCTGACGGGTATGGCGTGAATGCTCCACCAGGCGTTGTTATCGAGCCTGGGAACATTGTCGTTGTCGGCGTAGGAGTAGGGGTTGACATGATTGGGATCATGCCAATCGATCCTACAGCGGTGATCGGGGCAAAGGTCGTCCCCATGCTTGACATCATCAATGGGATGGCAGGAGTGCTTTCACTCGTAGCCTGGCTTGACACAGTGTTGTGGTTGCTTGAAGACATGATTGTGGATATTTAGTGGGGGTAAAGTTTTGACCTGGTCGAAAAAACTTTAAAAATCGGCCCCACGGGTGGCGCCAAAAATGATGGTGTAAATATAGCTGGGCGGGTTAACCGGGTTTAACCTGGACACTTGACCCGTAATATAAAACACACAACAAGAACACAAAGTATGACCTAGACCGGGTAAATCTCCTCAGTCCGAATTATATTTCTTACTCTGTCTCAAGAGTGTACTATTTTTAGTGAGAGAAAGAATTGGTCCCTCCTCTATCCAATATCATCATATTTATAGAGGAGGATTTGTGACCTTCCCCTGTTCATCCATGGACAAAATAGGAAGCCCGTGGGAAGGTCACTGTACATAATCAATCTACTATTCAATCAATGAATTCAGCAACTACAAGCCAAGACATGTACTGTTCAATCAAAGACTATTAAAGGATATTCTCAATCCAATCAGCCCTGCAAAGTGACAAATGTTCCTTTCACTGTTTATCTCGTGATGGACGAACGGCGGGGTGGTCCCTCGTGGTTCACCATGCCTGAGATACTGCACCAATGTTTGTCAAGTAAGATAATATGACCGGTCACCTTTTTGTTCATAGGTTGACCGGGCATTTATTGAGCTCAGCCCAGGATTTTGGTCTTCTTGAATTCTTCGCAACATAAGGCGTTATTTTGGCTATCGCCCAAAATTTGACCGGTCACTTTGTTAGTGGAAGTGACCGGTCATTTTTTGACCCGTCCCAATCGAAGAGTTAACATCATTGGTGACTTGATAAAAGTGACCGGTCAATTTTTGACTTGTCCCTTTTGGTTATCCGGGTCGGGTATAAGGATATACCCATCATCAACGATGTCTGCAGCTACCAGTAAGACTTCTCTCTTCTCCAACGACGTCAGCAGCCACCGGCGCACGTCAGACTTCTCTCGTCTCCAACGACGTCAGCAGCCACCGGCGCACGTCAGACTTCTCTCTTCTCCAACGACGTCAGCAGCCACCGGCGCACGTCAGACTTCTCTCTTCTCCAACGACGTCAGTAGCCACCGGCGCACGTCAGATTTCTCTCTTCTCGAAGTTTCCAGTTTCCAGCTAGTGTCCAAGCTTTCTCTTGCTTCAGCCAGAGTTCAGCTTGAGGGGGGATGTTAGACAATAATATTAAGTATTCCTAGTTATGGTAGAAGTTGTATTTTAGTTAGTTTCCATTCTCTATTCCTAGTTGTATTAGGAGTCTCTCCTATATATACTCTATCATGTACTTTATAATTCAAGGAGCAATATTATTATTCAAATATTTCAACATATATCAATAATCAATATGCTGAGGATCGGAATTCATAACATTGGTATTTAGTTCTTCATTCTTATGATACGATATCGTATTGGGTCTAGGAGAAAGATTGAGAAATTGGGGGAAAAAGATGAAAAATTTGGGAAAAGAAGAGAAAAAATCGAGAAGATGAAGAAGAAAACAAGATTTGAGATGAAGAGAGAACTATGATTTGAGATGTAATTTATTATTAATTATTCTTAACCGTAACTAAATACGGAGTACATGTATATTTATAGATTAAAAAAATAACTAACTCTAACCATGGTAGAATTATTCTAGACTTAATAAAATTCTAATCGTCAGTTGAATAATAGCATTAAAGTAAAAAAATTAAAAAGAAATTCTTTAAAAAGTGTTATAAATGCACTCAATAATAAAAAATAAATACTCCTTCCGTCCCAACACCACCAGTGACAGCCCCATCGCCACCCTCATCACAGTCGTCAGCCCCACCACCGCCCCCATCGCCGTCGTCATCCCCATGATTACCATCAGCAGCGCTACCATATCTTCCCCTCACCACCCCTGCCTTCCCCCCGTCACCGCCAGTGCCCACCATCAACACCACCGTGCCGGCTCCATTGTCACCACCATTCGCCATCGTCACACGTGGGAGAAAGAGAAAAGGGAGGAGAAGAACGGAGGAGGAGAAGATAAAGTTATAGATCTACCAGATCTAGGAGGAGATGGATAAGAAAGGAGAAAGGGGAAGAAAGAAGAAGAGCAGGGAGAGCTAATCTGTGAGATCGAGAGAGATAGAAGAGGGGTGGGGTGGGGGAAGAGAGGAAGTCGAAGAAGATGAAGGGAAGAAAAAAAAGAGTGAGAGAAGAGAGGGAGATAGGAGAAGATAAGCTGATAAAGGAGAGATGGGGGGCGATGTAGTTGGAGGAGGAGAAAGAAGAAGAGAGAAGAGAAAAGAGAGTGAGATTTGATGGGATAGGTATTTTTGGAACATTTGGGATTAAAATTAGAAATGAAAAGATTAATTCTAGACGGAGAAAAAGAGAAAAACGGGGAAGATTATTTCTAGATGGAGGGAGTATAAGTAATTAAACCATCTAATTAAATGATTAAAATATATATTTACATAGATAATATAAATTATTTAGTTATTCCGTCTGTATCAGATTAATCACATTGGTGTAGTTGGAAACTTGATTTTGAATAATGTCATGCTATAAATCTACCATTATTGACATCGCGAGGAGTGGATCATGATCACATGTAAATTTGTATACATAGAGATAATTGTCTGTGAATATTTACAGATAAATATCGCACAAATTCACAGATGATTGTTATCTCTGATATAAAAAATGTTTGCATTTTTGTTTAGATTGATGCATCATAATTTGTTTAATAAAAATCGAGAATTAATTTCACTCGTAGAAAAATAAGAGCCTAGAGTTTACTCGAGTATTTATTTTTTTTACAAAAAAAAGAGAAAAGCAACCATGCTAGGAGCACACCAAGAAGTGTTCCCCAAATTGCATCAGCTTTTAAACGATTCACAATGGCACACAAAATACTAGTTTAATAAAAAAACTATATTAACAGTTTGTATTGTTGTAAACCATCACGATAGCAAAAAATGTTAGTATATACCTGATGGGTGTAATCCACCAGGCCTTGACTCGAGTCGGGCCCATCTAAAATCACCCGGGCAAAGTCTAGGTACCACGCAGTTGGGTTGTTTGGGTGGATCTCTACCTTACCCGGATGGGTTTCAACCAAGACCACCCGGTCAAAGTCCAAGTACTATGCAACACGGTTATTTGGGTGGATCTGTACCTTACCTGGGTGGGTTACAACCAAGACCACCCGGGGGACTATTAGGCACCCAGTCAAATAACAGGATACTACACAGGAATTCTCGAGTGATCAGACGTTCTTTCAAGAAACTACCTAGGCATGTTTTGGGACTCGTACTGGGTGGCCAGTTTGCGTGTAAATGTGTCGGAAAGAATAATCCAAGCATGGTCGGACAATAGCGACTGAAGATCGCGGAGAATATTCAGATATTCTCGCCCAAGCACTACGCGCCAAGAGAAGTGTCATCCGCACAAGCCGAAAAATGAGTGGGACCAACACTACGTGACAAGAGAAGTCACCTTGCACCACCCAAGAACGTGGGACGACGTGGGAACTCTTTGTCTTGTCCCCTAGGCTCTACTATAAATAGCCTTGTAACCCTTAATAGAAGGGATCCGATTTGTTCTCACTATAACTCCCGTGTAAAAGCTTTTGTGCACTTTAAGATATTCTAATAATAATTGGGCTACAAGTGTCTTTACCTACAGTCCTCCCGATCAACTTTTGTTTTATGTGTCACTTTAGTTTCTAAAATCAGCAAATCATCCTAGAACCCGTCTAGAGTAGTTTGTCCGAGTGGTAATTTACACCATCAACACCTTTGAGGTATCATGTAGATACATGTTTTTGGAGTACAAATAGTTTAAGGACCATGCTAAACTTACACCAAAAATGTACCCTACTTGTACACCACAGTTTTGCACAGACATTTTGATGGTTTACACTGACACAAGTGTTGGTGCGTTAACAAAAAATTACACGGACACAAATGTTGGTGCGTTAACAAAAATTAGTTTTATACCAACACAAAATGTTAGGGCAAACCTGTGGGGTACAAATTAGAATATAAATGTTGGAGTACACATAGCTTAATCCACTTAATCCATAGTTTAATTAAAAAAAAGCTCCCGAGTCGAAGGAGAGGTCGAAGGAGAGGGTTATTCCACAATCCACGTGTCTTTCCAAGTCGTCTAATCAGACGGCCAAGATTTCCCCAACTTCCATCCCATATTTTTGCCAACCCTACCTTTCTTTATAGTTACCCGTCAATAGAGATTTCTTTCATATTCCTTCGATCGTCAATAGAGATTTCTTAAATACTCAAATTTCAATCACCTTGTTTTTTTATTTATTCATTTTATATAATAATACTCCCTCCGTCCCCCATAGATCTTCTCAAATGTCCTTTTTCTTTGTCCACAATAGATCTTCTCATTTCATTTTTTAACAATTAAAATACCATAACTATCCCCACTTACTTTTTTTATTACACCTCACCCACCTCATTTAATACACTCCACCCATATTTCATTAAGGGTATTATGGTAAACTTTCACTTTTTTTCAACTCTCCTTAAAAACCACCAAAAGTCAAAATGAGAACATCTTAGGGGGACGGAGGGAGTAATAATCTTGTGACTTTCAGTTTTGTAAAATTTATAACTAAATAAATTTAATTGAAAAATAAAATCAGCCATGCTTCCGAAATGGAAAGATCTGAGTATCTTCGATGTAACAATCATACTTATGTATGCATTTAAGTGGAGACCATATATGGCGGAATGCAAAGTTTGGCCGATGTAAGTTGTAATCAATCACTTCCAAGTTATAACTTTAGTTTTTGGGAGACTCCATTTATGGTTCATCTTGGGTGCGTATTATTTTTGTGAACAAATGATTTTTCTTCTTTGACGGAGACGCCATTCTTTTCGAATCTGCCAAATAATCAACCAAGTAGAGGAGCGCCATTGTTTTCTGTTGTGATATTTTATTTACTCGCAAGTGCACGAACCGTACGAAAGTATAGCAACGCAAATACGAGGTCGATCCCACAGGGACTTGAATATGTGAAGAATTTTATTCTAGATTCAATTGAATATTTCTAATCTAATTGGACATAATTTAATATTTTAAGAAAAACTAAATGTGAAAAATGAATAATTTTAAAGAAATCTTAAATAATTAAACAGAAACTAAAGATTGTATTAACTACTAAAAACTAAGAAATTAAAAATAAGTTTTCAATTATGAGAAAGAACTAGGACTTGGAATCCACTTATATGTTCAAATGTAATTTTTACTCAATCATTATTTTTTCCAAACTTAATACGCATGATAATCTCGCAACCAAGTCTCGTTATCATGGAGGGTATATCAATTATGCTCAAAAAAACAATTTCTATAGTTTGCTATTTTTCAAAGTTTTAAGAGGAATTCAAATCATTAATTGTATCTCAACAAGAAATCACAACTAATATCTGCTCTTTTAACTTGTCAAACAATTATCAGGTTTATTCAAAGCATGAGAAAAACATGATTGAACTCATCTAAAAATTAACCCTAATAATCAATTGGAAAAATAGACAATAAATATTTAAGATCAATATGGAAAAATAAATCATGAGTAAAAATCAAAT